GATTACAATCAAGGAAGACAAAATAGGTGTAGAACTCCGTGTGATCGAGTACTGTGTTAACTTGGTTTTAGAAAAGTGACAATAAAAGTTAAACCTGGCTTTCAGCCAGAAGACTTTTGAAGTATGATGCAGTCATGATGAAATTAAAGTATTTATTGGATTTTCTATACCATAGAACTTCACTGTGAAGGAAAAACTTGTAATTTTTAAAGTTCTGAATAAAATTTTTTATTTGTTGTAATAAAAACACAATATGCCATTTCATAACAGAAAGGAATGTGGAAAGAGGACACCTTGCTGCTGATATAACCATGCAATGTACAGTGCTTGTCCTTCTCAAATATTACCTGTTGTTGCAGTTTTTGGATGGATATGGCATATATGTCTGCATCTATCATTCCTGCAGAAGTGGAGCATTTGGAGGGAGAATGCTGCCGTTTTGCTGTGAGGCTGGAGCTGAGATGAAGTTATCAGAGCGGAGAGGATGGGGTTTCCCTAAGGAGGCTTTATTAGTGGAGGGAGAAGAGTCCAGTGCAAACACTGCAGAGAGGGAGCAGAGGTAGCTTAGGGCTCAGTTGTGCCAATTTGCACACCGGGCTTCATCATCCCTGGCAGCCATGGACTCCCTTGTTTAATTCTTTCTGCCCTGAAAGTGGAGGAAGTCCCTGGCTGCTGAGCTGAGAGAGATTCAGTGCACTGTTTCTTTTGTTCTTTGCCATGGGCTGAAAAGGTGGTGAGACAATTTTTGTAGTTTCTGGGAGTTGTGACCCACAGCCCTGTTTTTTGTCCGAACTCTTCCTTCTCCTGACCAGGACTGTTTCAGCGTATGGCAGCACCCATACTTCTCTGTTCCTCCTCTTTTCTCAGTCACCTGCCCTCAGAGAGCTTCTGTGTGTCTTTTCTGCTTTCTATTAAGCATTTCCCATTAGGACAGATAGGAAAATGTCCTAGGAAAAAGGAAAGAAAAAAAAGTGGCTGCAAACAGTGTCTCAAGAATTGATAAGCCAAATGCACACACATGCCTCTGTCGATTTTCACCTTCCTAGGAGCTGAATCTGTTTTCCTCTCCCTGTTAGTTAACTCCCATTCCTCATCTTGCCCTCATTCTGTGTACCCTGCTGTTGCACCGAAACAGAATATCATCTGAGCTGTCTCCGTAGTGATCTTCCAGTGTAATGCATGGGGGATTATTGTGGGTCATAGTCTTACTGTTAAGAGCCAGCTACATGACTGGGGAAGACTAGTCTTCAAGAACTGTTACATGAGTGATTGTCCACTTTTTTTTTTTTTTGTACCCTTTTTGTCTTTTTTTACCCTTAGTCTGCCTTCACTTTTGTTCAGTGTTTTCTGTGAAGTGCCATCTTCAGTAAGCGTCAGTAGGCATCTACTCATTTCCTGCACAAAGGTTAAAAAGGATCACTTTCTGGTGCTGCCAGGTTCGGGATTATTTTTGTGGACCTCTGAATGTGCCTCACTGAGAACTTGGGTGGTGTCTTCAGCCACATACCTTCTTTCATGCTGGTGAAATATCATGCAGTAGTTAGGCACCCCTGTGAGCCTGAAAGCTTAAGGCTGTGTTACTAAGAGATGCTGAACAGGTAGATCGATGCATCCCTTTTAGTTGGGGGCAGCATAGGTGGGCTTCTCTAGGAAGTGTGGACATATTGGTAAGATGTAATTCATGTAGCCTGGAGCAGATGCTTTTGAGGACTGAAAAGCTGATGTTACAAAATAAAACAGACGAGATGAAGCGTCTTTTAAGTGGTGAATGACAGAGGAAATTGTTTTCCTCTCACACTCCTAGCCTCTTGCCAGGAAAATTTCTAGCTCTGGGACGGGTCCATCTGTTATCAAGTTTCAGGCATAGTTGTGTAATACTTGGACCTGTCGAATGCCTAGAGAGACTGCTCATGTATCTCCAGAAGCTGACTAATGTCTTTGCATACAGCATTTTCCAGGAGTAGGACCAACCATAAATATGCTTTTTTGCTTGTCGTGGTTTGAGAAAGAACAAAACTAATTTTTTCTTTTCAGTACTTTTACTTTTCAGTTAAGTCTCTTCTAACTGACTGCACTCTCTGAAATTAACAGTATGTTTTTTCAGCTAGTGTCTACCTCTGGCAGTGGTAATGTCTGAGGTTTATAGTTAATACTAAGGAATGGTATGCAGAGAGGCTTGTGATCATGGTTACTCCTATAACAACCAAGGTCAGCTAGTTTTTTTACATACCAAGTTGAAGGGTCAAAAAAGGAAGAGCCTAGAACGGTTGCATCTGTGGGAAGGAGCAGACAGGACAGGTGACCCAAAATTGACCAATGGGATGTTCCATCCCATCTGTTTTAGGTTTGTGTGGTGGTTGTTTTTTTTTTTCCAACTCATAAGTCTCTCTCCAAGGGAGAGGGGATAATAGAAAACATTTATCATTTGCTTAGCAGCCAGCCCAGCCTAAGCCATGACATTGCAGCAATAGCAAGTTGCAGGAAACTCTAGTTTCTCCCTGAAGTGGTGCCTTGCCCCAGGATTCTTACTAAATGCATTCTCAATCCGTAGTCTTCAGGGGTGAGGTAGTTAGCCTCCTGTGCTTCCAATCCCCAAATTGTGAGTGGAGAAAGGTCGAGTAGGGCATCATGTAGCTCCTCTTTGGCCAACTTGTTCTAGTTCTCCAAAATTCAGATATTCATGTTAATATTTCATAACCAGTTACTGGTGGTCTTGGTGAGGTTTTGTGTTACCAGGCAGGCAGAGCCTCTTGGTGCATGCCTTTCTGAAGGTAAAATTTCTCTTGTCATTATGCTAGGGAAATAAGGTTGTATGACCTGTGTGCTCAGTGGCTAATCCTCACTGCAATTTTATTTTTGAATAAAATGACTGCCTTTGAGGTGAGGAGAAAGAGTGACTTAAGAAGTGAGGAACAACTTAGGATGAGTGTGACAGAAGAATTTTGTGTGGTTTTCTATTTAATTTCTGTAGGGAACATTGTAAGTACAAACTTTTGTTTGACAGAAGATAACCTTCCTGTAGCAAGGGAGATGATCCTGTAGATGAGGGAATCAAGTGTATCTGTTTGGGATTCTGCGTGCGATCCTGCAGGATCATATGCAAAACCCTTTGAAGGACAATGTGCACCAGCCCAGCTTCTGAGACTGTAGGAGGAAGGATTATAAATCTTAGTGAAATGAGGCAGAAATTTCTTTAACCGTTACAAGTCTGCTGTTGACTCTCTTTTGCTACCCCTTTCTCATGTGAATTTTGTGTCTGCCTGCAGAGATCTCGTGTCTGCCTGTTTCTGTTTGATCGCTTCCAAGTTTTGCAATAGTAAGACCTGTGTTAACCACCTGAATGATATGCAGAAGTGACAAACTGGTTTGTAAGCAGTTCAAGCTGGCCCTGCTGGTTCTTGCACTACAAAGCCCTGCACAGTTTTGTTTAACATCTGTACTTTTGCTGCACACTACTCTAGTTATACAAGCCCATTAAACTGCCATCAGATATTGTCTGGCCTGTTATATTTGCTTAATACCTTTCATTATAAGAGGTCAGGGTTTGGTGGTTTTCTTGTGAGAGGGATTGTCGTGCTTTGAGTGACCCTCTACAGGAAATTCTAGCATTTGCATTTTTAGTCTTGTTTTTAATCCCTGTCTTCGCCCACAAGACTCCTCTTTTTACTGTATTCCTGGCTCTTTCAGTTTTTCTAACTGCTGGAATTTTTTCTTATGGGCAGCCAGAAATGCAGGTTGCTTCCAGGCAGCGCACATTTAATTCTCAAGGCTTTGGCACTGCAATGCTGCATCGGAGTTAAGATTTTTAATGGCTCAGAGTAGGGGAGTGGAGGATGCTATTATACTAAGTCAAGTTCTTTAAATCTAGAGAACATAGAATAGATTGAGAGAACCAGGTCAGAGAAGCTTGTTTCACTTCGCATCTTGCAGTTTCCAAAACGCCTGACTATGCATAGAAGTGGGCTTTCTTCGTTAGAACAGCGCTAGCCTTAAAATAGTCCTCATGATGCACGCAGCTGAGGAGCCTGTCCATGCAGCTGTGGTGACTGTTGTACAAGTGCGTTCATCGTTACCACTTCTACATTTGAAAGTGAACACTGTATAGGATAATGGCAAACTTCTTGAATCTGGCTATTTGGAAGGATTCCAGGAGGTCGCAGCTGGGATGTCTGACATGGATCCTGAAGTGACGGAGTGTTAATGTACATTTGGTGAGGTTTGGCTTGGTAGGTTCTTTCCTCTGATCTACACGGATTTATTGTGCAGAACAAATACATCTCAGTTCACTCAGCATCATAACTCGATTTCTAAGTTGTTGGGTTTTGTTGCTGTTTTTTTTGTTTGAGTAAGATAATATTTTTTTTGTATGAGCAGTATAGGTTTGTATTACAGTACTTATACATGTCTCCTTTACATTCTTTTTTTCCCCGTCACCATAGCTTATAAAGCCAGAGTTAAGGGATATACTTACCCGTAATTCATAGTGTTCACATAATTACAGTGTGCTGGATACTGGGTTTGGTTTCTTAAAGGATTCTTTTAATATTTTTCAAGATTTCCTATCCTGAAATCTCAAGCTATTGTGTGGACAACTAAGTAATACTGAATTGAAACAACTAGTGGCAAATAAACATCAATTTCTGTGAGATGCTTCTGGATCATGACATCTTTCTTGTAGTGGTAGTAGGTGGTCTTTCTTGACTTACATGTTGCAGAAACCAACATAAATGCAGAGGAGCTTCACATAACATGTACTAGTCTGCCAATATCCTGCATAATGTGTTGGAAATGTGAAAGAAACATGCCTTTGTAATATTATCTCTGTTTTCCATTTTTATGTTTTAACCTCATGTTTTTTTTCAAATTGAAATAGCTTTTTTTGCAGAGTCTGTTTGTTACAGTAACAGTAATTATTATCCTACCTTATATACAAACCAGCACTGTAAATGTGAATGTGCCTGTCTGCCAATACTGAGTATTGTCTGACTTTCTCTACACAGTGTTGACAATTTTGGACTTGGTCTTCTGCTTCAGACTAAGCAAATAAAACGCATGGTGTCCTCGTATGTTGGAGAGAATGCTGAATTTGAACGCCAGTATTTAACTGGTGAGCTTGAAGTTGAGCTTACACCTCAGGTAAGGAGTGTCTCTAGGAGACCAGTGATTCCTTTCCATCTGGAATACCAAGAAGAATAATGCTTAAGTGGTCTTATAAAAGTATTTTTCAGTCCAAATGTTATGCCTGTGTGCAGACGTGGAGTAAAGACAGATGGCACTTGCAATCTTAGGATCACAGGCTGTAGGTCACAGACAACCGGTCTGTTAACTGGTTGTATTTTGTGAATTCCATTTATGACTTTTACATGATATTCATATAATATATATGCGTTTATTTTATTGTACAATGTTTGATTTTTGGTAGTTCCTCCCAGATTCCAGAAAAACACACGAAGTGTGTTCATTACTGTGATCCATATAAGGGGAAAGAGGTCGGGGAGCTGCCGAATTGCCCTATTGGTGGCAGCTGGTGTGCGCTTTTGGGGGTGTCGCGTGTGCAGTCTGCCACCTAGTGGGAAGGACTCAAATTAGGAGATTTCAGTTCATTGTGAGACATAACTGCTTTGGGTTTGTTCGTTAAATCTTAAATAATTAATCTCTGCATAGTGTTAAGAGCCAATAATTGCAACTTTATTTTTTAGCATCATATTTTTTACTGTTTCAGCACTGAAACATGCTATACAAATAGCCTGAATGCAATGAGATCCTAAAACCATGAGTATCAGTCATATTCTCTTGAGATCTAGTTTTGTGAAATTAGTACTCTTAACTTTAAAGCCTGCAGCATGTTAGTGTGTGGCATTTCCAAGGGTAACATGTAACATTTGGGCTTTAAAGTGCTGTTGATTTAAGTCTCTTGAAAAAGTAACAGTATTAAGTCTATATGGAGTCTTGGGCTCCATCTCTTGAGAATGTCTCTTATCATCACAGAGATGGGCAGAAAAGCTCCTTTTATACCCCGTCAGCTAATATGGAAATATCCTAATATGTCCTAATATGGACACTTCTCATGTTTCAAAAGTGACAAATCTCACCATTCTATCATCTCACAATTCAGTTTTTTCCTCTTCCTGCTTAATGTTCATTGCTTTCATCTAGAAGAATTTGAACTCCTCAGACATGTAATTGGCTTTGTGGACTGCACAAACAGTGTAGATCCAGCATGAAAGTACTGGGTCTACAGTGTGCAATGGTAAACAGTAAGGTGAATTAATGACTTGCTAGGAGATGTGGGGATCTGAAATATTTGTGTCAAGGTAAAATAATCTTTTGGAAAATTCTCTTAAAAGAGGCAAAATGGGGAACTGTTGCATTCTTGTACAGTAAAGGAGAGGTCATAGTGAGATATTGAAATAGTGTGGCTGTTTGGAACACCAGACATTGTGCCATCCGTCTCTTGCTACCATTTTGTAAACCTACCAGAAGTTATTGTGTTTCTTGCAGGATATCTGGGGAAAATGCAACCTATGTTTTGGAGGCCGTCAAGCTAGATAATTGACCTTGATGGTCTGTCTTTCTTTGAATATAAGAAAATACCAAAACCAAAAATAATTGCGGAAGGACACTAAGGAAAAGAAGGCAGACATGTCTTTGTCCAAGAGTCCTTAATTAAGGCTGATGAGGAATTTGGGCTGTTATTATCTGTGAAACAGCTGGACACAGGACAGACTGCAGATAGGATAGTCTAACAGAATAGAAATGCTGTCAGCTTCTTGGTATTCTTAGCACGGGCAACCTAGATCTCTGGACTTCCTCTTCCTTTCCTAATCTCCTGTGCGTGGCTGTTCCAGGTTGGAGTGAGGTATGAAGTTTTTCTCAAGATGTTGGAGAAGGAAGCATAGTTATAGAGGACTGTTATAAGAGAAAAAACCTTCCAGCATATGTAGACAGGTGGGAAAGAGAAAAAGAATGTTGTACTCTTCTCAGAGTAATGGACTGGGAAACAAGCTGAAGGAGAAGAGGCACAGCAAAGTGCTGGTAATGGGGGTTGACAAGGAATTGTGTGACAGTGTGCTCTTGAGCAATTTGTGTCTGTGTGTGAAGCATTTCCCACCATATCCAGTATCAATCCCACAAAGAAGAGCTAAAATGGGCGGAAGTAATAGATGTGATGGTCTGCTGAGTTCAGAAGGAAAAGCTATGAATGACAGGATATAAAAATAAGGTCATGCAAGATATTCATCAAAGTTTGATTTTTTTCTTCCCAAATGACCAGGTCTTAAATGTGTTTTCCCATAGGGTACGCTCGCTGAACGTATTAGAGCAGGAGGAGCAGGAATCCCAGCATTTTACACCAGTACCGGTTATGGGACACTGGTGCAGGAAGGGGGTGCACCTATCAAATACAACAAGGATGGCACCATTGCCATTGCTAGCCAGCCAAGAGAGGTAAGATGTCACTTTGTTACTAGGAAGCCTTCTGCTTTTAAAACTGAATTTCTTACATATTTCCAAGCTGAACAGTAGTTTAAGCACCTCCAGACCAAGTTTAACCTTGGTATATTGGATTAACAGGATGCCTGTGGTACCAGACACATTACTTTTCCTCCCAGTGCTCACTTCTGTCCTCTGTGATGTGTTAGAAAAGATTTTACTTGACTTAGCATTGACAGCTGGTCCAGGTGAAAACCAGCCTTGTTGAGTATACTCTTCATTGGATGGTTCTGTGACCAGGTTCACTGTGTATTCAGACAAAGTCTTGTACCATGCCACTAGAGTGCACAGTTATGGATTGAGGACAGCCTCCTTTTCACGGGGCAGGTGCTCCTTAAATACCATGGTATGGAGAGACCAGCCCTGCACTGTACATGAAGATTTAGCATTAGAAGGGATGGGACATTTTCCTGTTAAATGGGGAATAGCTGTGTTGACACAAACTTTCAGGAAATGCATTTGCCAACAGTTGAAATGCAATTTAGTCTGAGTATTTGAAATTGCAAAGAAATAAAAAAAGAGTGTGGCTTCCAAGTGAGAAACAAGGGCTTCATATTGAAATTGGATGTAGAATTTGGACAAAGTTATGGAACTTCTCAGTGCCATAACTGTATTTGAAAAAATGGATGGGGCTAATGCTGTATGTTCCAATCAGGCTGCAAAATAGCATTAAATTCTACCTCAAGAACGTCTCTGGGTATAGATAATTTTCCACCCTCCATGGGTTTTGTGTATTTATACATGGCTATTTTCAATATATAGTCATTACCTAGTCTTTTTGTTTCCTTAATTTTCTTACTAAATATGTCATTATGATGTTTTACCATTTGAAGGAATGCTTTATTTATTAAATAGTTTATAATTTTGATAATTTTTTTCTTCTACTTGCAACATTTGTGAAAAAGTCTCTTACTTTCCTCAGTCTTTTGGGGGGATAATAACATGTCTAGCGTGATTTGTTCAAATCCATTCTCCAAATCCATTTTGAATACAAGTGTCATGTTATTATAGCTCAGATCTCCTTTTACAGGATTGGAAAAATGACTTCTGATACACTTCTGTCATTTTGTCCTCCTCAGAAATCTTAAATAACTCTCAAGTAACTTTTGTGTATAGACTTTCTACATTGTTTAAAGAAATGCTTTTTCATGTTTCTATATAGAATTAAAATACTAGCTATTAGTCAGTTACATATTCTGGCTAAGGCACAGTATCATTACAAATACCGATCATGCATGCAGAGAAAACCAAATGAAATTCATACTGTCAGATGGTGTGATTTGAGTACTCTGTCTCAAACCCACTTCATTTTAGATTTGGTGTTTCTGGTGGTGGGCAGTGATTATGAACTTTTTCAACAGTTCTGCTTTAGCACTTCAGTTTTTGGTTAGCTGGTAGATGTGCAGGAAAATAAGCATGTCTAATTCCAGTAGATGGAGCAGCAGGACTATGGATCTGATTCTCGTTCTGTTTCACTAAATAGACACTATGGTAAAACTGGGATTTACAGCCTTTCCATACTTCTTTGTTATTTTACAGTTGAGGTACAGTTTTTCAAATAAAACTTCATGTAATACAAAAAGAAGTCTAAATATAATAATCTGTAAAATTAACTTCATAAAATAAATATTGCATGGGAGATCTTTTTAAGAAACCTACAGCTCAATAGTGTACTTTTCTCTGTAGGTGCGAGAGTTTGATGGCCGGCACTTTATTCTGGAGAAGTCAATTACAGGAGATTTTGCTCTTGTGAAGGCATGGAAGGCTGATCGTGCAGGAAACATAATTTTCAGGTATGACTTCTTTATCTGTGGGAAAAGATTCTTTAATGGTTTAGATAATGGAAGAGAAGGAGAATCCTGTCTCTTGTGTGATGGCAAAATAATGTTTTACTGATTTAACTTTCTTTCGTGTTGCCTTTCCCTACTGTCAAATTATACTGCTATAAAAAACAAAATATAATTGCTTTTTCTAATGACTTTTGAGAATTCAAACATGGCTGTGAAATAAAACATTAGTAGTTAAAAATGAGACATAGCAGACCAAAGCCTGCTATTATGATGACTGTAGTAGTGACATTCCGTTCATTTCAATTTTCATGTTAGTTTGGGCCTTTTCCTTGTGCAATTGAGAACCCTGAACCCAAGAAATGCAGGTTCGTATACGCCAGAGAGAAGGGAGCAGAGTTAGTTTCCTGGCTAGTCAGTGATGGGAAAACTTGATTATGTCTCCAGTAAAGTGTGTTTAAAGTCAATCTGTTCTTAGTGGTGTAGGGAGAGGCAGCATATCAACTTAAATGCCTGTTGTAGTGAAAAGTTTGCGGGCTGCCCTAGTGATAACATCATTTATTTGAGTTGCCATATTTGTGCTCTGGTTTGACCTGAGCACAACAGCCTGAACCTCCTGAAGCAGGAGAGGTTTGCATATGTTTAATGTCTGGTTTTTATTTGTTTATTTTATGGCTATCAGATGAAAAGGTAAGTGTTATGGTACTCACTTGCAGTTTACTACAAGATGCTGAATGATGCAGTCTGTCTTTGTATGTATTAAAACAAACAAGGAGTTGAAAAAGCAGCTGAAAAATAAGCAAATAAAAGAATGCTGATAATGCTTTTTTGTGTATGTATACATATATACACATGTATTCACATAAATTTTTTCTATATATATTATAGGTACAATAATAATATTAAAATACTTGAAAATTAAGAAAAAAATTATTTTGCCAAACTCTTGACATCTTGGCTTGCCCACTGGCAAGACAAGATGGTTTCTGATTGAAAACTGAACTTCGTTCTCTGTGTGCACCTGAATTTGATGGCTGCTAAACTGCTTTAATTAGGCTCTGGCACATGGAATACAGGAAACCGTCTTCCCCCTTGGGCTTGTCTTTGTTTAATCTTGAGCCTCTACTGTCTGTGTTTTTACCCTGTATCAATCTACTGATGAATACTTACCTCTGAAAAATTCTTTTGTTCTCCACAGAAACTGACTGGTTGCCTTCTCCCTTTCTCCCCCTCTTCCTTTATATCCTGTGGTCTCTCTTTATGCTTTCCCCTCTACCTCCTGTTCCTTTCAGAAGTCTTCATATGTCTCCCACATTCACACAATACAGTTGATACCAAATACTACTTCCATCTGCAGTGGAGACCTAAAAATCTTGACTCCTTCTTTCAAGTGTAACTAATCTAAGATGGAAACATCATCATCCAGTGTCTTATTCCATGTAGAGTATTGCTGGCTTAAAAGAATTTGCTCATAATAACCAGTCACCCATTCTGGTTTTGGATGACACACAAATTACATCATGGCCTACAACAGATAAACACAGGCTCATTTCGTAGCCTGTGGGAGACAACAGAAGAGGAAATCGTAACAAATTAGAATATAAAAGTAGTATTTCTCTGATCTACAGGATGAAAAGGAAAATGTGTTTTTGACGTTGTGCTACATACTTAGTACGTATTCACTGCCAGTGGGACCCTTCCATACTTTTAAAATTTGGATTTATGTACCTCCTGGTGTTGTTTGCTGAGGTATGCCTAGCTAGACATAGGGTCTGTGTTTACTCATGTCTGCCACCACTTCCACAGCAGTGTGTACTATTCACACTGTGTTTTCTGTGACTCTGGTGTCTGTGGAGCCAACAGGAATGGAGTAAGTGTCTGCCAGACTGTTAATCACCCTCAAGCTAAGAGCTTTTTTAAATCTAAAGGATTTACTTTAGGTAGACTTATTTGAACCGTAGGCCAGCGTGTGCTTTATTGTCTCTTCTCATACATGAAGCTACACTGTTTTCTTGGGGAGCCAGAATGGCCCCAGCTCCTTTAGAAAGCAATTTTTTAAACAGGGTTTTATTCGTGATACTTCAAGTCCCCTAGCTCTTTTGTTCCATACAGCATGCTGTGGCTACTTCCCTTCCAGGCATCTTTATGCTGACTCTACTATTTAGCACCACAGCTTTTGCCTGACAAGACCTGTGTCTCACCCAGTAGATCATAATTATTACGTATAGTGCACCATTACCCAGACAAATAATCCCAAACTCCCTCAGACATAGTGAAATAGTCCCACCTTGTTCCTGTGCTAGCTGAAAGAATGCGTATATAGGCATTTCCCTTTGTTAGTCTGATGCAGGTGCTAGTTAGTAGAACAGGCTCCCTCCAGGTCTTAAGCTCCCCTGGAGCTTTGCTCATCAGGGACAACAGCAGAGAGTGCCAATACTCTACCTTTGGCTCCCCTCCTGTTTCGTCTGGGACCATTCGGCTTTTGAGATTTTCTAACCCAATATGCTTTCCCGTTACAGTCAGAGGTGTAACTGGTTTTGTGCCAATGAAAGTATTCTCTTGATGAAAGGGATCACCTGAGTCTCAGGGCCCCTGCTGTCCCACACAGTCATGTCACGTCATCTTTTTATGCTTCAAGTGGTTCTGCAATACGTAAATTCAGCTCATATCTGAGGTGTCCCTTCATCTCTGTCCGCTAGGTGTGTAGTGGATATAGTTTGTTGGTTTAGTCTACTACAAACTAGTTTGCTGGTTTTTTTGCCTTTGGGAGTAAAGCTGTTGTCATGCCTTTGGGTTCGCTTGGGAATCCATCATTGGAACCATGGACTTTATAGACATTGCTGAGTCTAGATGTTCAGAAAGCTATCTTAAAATAAAAAGGCAGACTTGGCTAGCTAGTTTCAGGATTTCATACTCCAAAAACCTGAATGATACTCTGTGTTGGGAAAAAAAGTAGAACATTTCTGTTTTTTCTTCGTCTGGATGATGTGTTCTTTAGGAATAAGACCTTTGATCTTGCAAAAGACTGCTGCTTCTGAAACAACTTTGCTAACCCAAGCACATTCTAAATTGCATAGGCTTTTATAATCAGGGTCAGAATTCCTTAATTTGACATTGAAATGTTTTCTTGTAACTTTTTCCCTTATGTAAAAATAGTTTTATATCAGTTTCGTCTACTGTCAGACCAACCACTACAATCTTGAGAAAGCATTTCCCACAGTAGAGTAGCCACTTGGAATGAAATACTGAATTCTTTGTTTCCACATCTGCCTTCTCCCATCTGTAATCCATTCCCCCACTATTTCAATTTGTCTTTTGTAACTCTGTTTTCCTTCTTATTTTCTACTCTACCCAGTTTAGGGTAGTTTTTCCTAAATCACTACTAGTTAGTATTGTATTCATGCACTAAGCGAAAAATATGAATTCTAGTTGTGTTTTGTTTTGGTTTGGTTTTTTAAAATGGTTAGTTCTTCTTACATCCTTTTGTGTTTACATGACTACAGAGGAGACCCATGGACAAAAAATACTGTCCCTTCGGTAGGCTCTGTTAGAGGCTTCACAGCTGCTGTTTATTGCCAATGGAACAGGATTTCCCCGAGATACGTGTCTTTGGGTATAGCTTTGATTCTGTAGGCCTCTGCACTAGAAATCCTGTTAAAACTGCATGGTAGTCTCAAGATTTGGCTATTTCAACTCTCTTCCTCCCCCAAAGCCACGAGGTGGCAGCAGCATTCCAAAGTTGATCTTGCTTACAGCACTAGGCATGGTCTTCACTGGGAAGAAGGTGGCAGTGTTGAGAAGTAAGGATGGTCAGAAAAAAAAAATGCTTCTGTGGAGAGTGGACGGGGGAAAAGGCGGTTTTGACTTGTTCTGAACCCTCGTTTCGTGCCTTTCGATGAAAAATATTCAAGAATTCTACTTTTTTAAAAGAGAAAAATTCTGAGGAACTATCAGTGGAACCCCGCTACAGTATACAAAATTTTTCTTAAATGCTATGTGTCACAGATTTGTTTGCTTTCTGAAAAATACTGAGAGGGGCTGACACAGGTCATTTGTTTTTCCTTATGCCTACTAGGATCTGGGTGCAGATCCCAGCACGGTTATACATGTCATGCATTACTTCTATTCCCTAGAGGTTCTTTTTCCTTGCTACAGAAATACTGCGTGGGAATACTTAGGATGAATGCCAGAGTCTTGCAGTGAGTGCCAAAACTGGCACACCTATTTTAATCAAGAGAATTGGATTAAATTTACAACTGTGCAAAGTGCTAGCCCAAGTCCTAGCCTGAATTATGAAGGCATACTTGAGACTTGAGAGGTTGTTAGGCACTGTACTGGCCCTCCTGTGGAGATTAATTTTACCCTTTGTGCAGTGAAATAATGGGAAGGTACATTGTACAAAGCCCAGCTTGCTGCTGCTCTTGGATCCAATAAATGAAGATATCAGTAGCATACCCGATTTCAATTAGACAATGTGCTGATTAAAAGTCAGAAGAGCTGTAATAAGTATTTTCCAATGTAGCAAAATATGTTTTCCTATGCATCTACAAAATTCTGTAAAAATTTTTCTCCCTCCTATTTTTTTATTAGTCCTCTAGCTATTTGGCAAAAAGATTTGTGATGTTTATATTACAGGGATACTTGTAGTAGCTTATCTCTGAAAAATCTTTCCTTATACTGTTGCAGCTTTTAATATTTATTAATTTTCTTTTCTTTCACAGGAAAACTGCAAGAAACTTCAACCAACCTATGTGCAAAGCTGCAAAGACAACTGTGGTAGAGGTAGGAAATTGAAACACAGTAAGCCCTACACCCCTGTAGTCAACAAACCCCTTTGTTTTGCGTGGCAGAGTTCTCCAGTTCTTGACTTACTGGGAATTTCATACCATAGTCAGTGGTCCAACCTGTGTCCTTGGATTGCCTACTCCTAAGTTCTGTTTTAGTGATTTGTTCACCATGGTGCCTCAGTTTATTACTGTTCATCTGATCCTGGCCAGGAGTTCATGTTCACTGTGATCAGTCTTTGAAAGGAAAACATGGCAACAGCCTTCAAATTTGTTAAATAAAATAGCATACAGATGAAAGAAGAAACAGTAAGCTTGTACTGTGCTTGAGAAGATTCATGTATGACCTTATGCAAAACTTCCTGATAATAAGTATGTAATAATATAAACTGGGCAAATCATGGAGCTATCACAGTTGCAGTTTCTGAATTTTAATAAATTACATAAATATCAGTCCAGAATGAAGCATAGACATTTTTTTTATGCCTTGAGAAAGAGGCTGGAGTAGATGATCTAGAAGTTTCTTCCCATCTTTTTGCCCTTTTCCCTTTCCCTTTCTAAAATGCTAATGTTTAAAAACAGGGAGTTGCCTGCACTGGAAATATATTAGTGACTGGAGAGCTGCTAAGGCATAGTAATCTCTGTAAGACAGACAGCTCTATTAGCTTTTTCATCACTCTCTGGTACAAAGGTTTTTTTAGATGCCTAATAGAAGCCAAATATGGTTTGACAGTAAGATCAAGAGATACTCTTCAAGTGTATTTCTAGTAAATTCTAAACTGAAGAAGTTTGTGTTTCTTCAGGGGTCTTGTTTTGGTTTGGGTTTTTGTTTGGGGGTTGGATATTGTTTTGGATTTTAGGGGGGGTTTTAGTAAAATCTTATCTAGAAAATATATTTCTTATATAAACGTCTCTGGTTAATACATTTAGGAACTTTTATTTCTGTATTAAGAACTATGGCAAAAAGTACCATAGAATTTTTCACACGACTTACAGTCGTGACAATTCAGGAACAGTACATGAATTTTCTTAGTTGATTTTCAAGAAAGGCTTAAAATATTTTTCCATTTAAAAATGAAATAAAGAACGTTTCATCATTCCCTGTCCTTCTAGTCACTTGCCCTTCATACTTTGTTCAGTCTGGCATTTAGAGAATTTAAGTAGATCAAAGCCTTCCACCTACATTCCATCTCAGTCTCTCTTTCTGCTCTTCTATCCACATGTGATAGGGTAGAATTTTCTTGTCAGTGAGCAGCAATTATGCGATATCCTTCTTGCTATAATTCCACTTAATAGTCTTTAGTAGATCTGCTGTGAACTGTGTCCATCGTGAGTCTTGTTGCATTTTCAATACCATTTGAAAACTGACAAGCTTTTTGCAAGATGGCACGCTAATATTACTTTACAACTCTAGTTTTTTATGGACAAATTAATGGGTGAAGACACATAATGAGACATTTAGGACAAATAGGTATTTTGGGCCAAATTGAATGCCTCATTGGCTTAACTTTTATGTGTCTTTCTCCCAAAGTGAAATACAGAATGTTGTGTTTGCATTTAAGAGTTCAAACTCAGGGAATCAGAAGGACGTATCTCAATACGGCATCCAGTACATCCTTAGTGATGAACCTGAAGGTGTCTAGAGCTGATCACCAGGGAACTGAGGCAACTCAAAAGAGTTTTGCCTGACTCCTTAGTTAATGCTGTTCAAGGCTGAAGTGTGAAATTCTCAATCCCATTTACAGGGAGAAGAAAAAGGTTTATGTAGAGTAGTAATTCAGACACTCTCTTGGCAACAGAGACTTCTGAATTCTGGTTTCTGTTCCCAGTTTTGTTGCTGTTTTTTACCCACTGACTATTTAACTTAATTTAAGTAGACAGTCCTAGAAGTAGAGATTTGAAGCCATCCCTCCTCCTTTCCATCAACCCAGATACAGGTCAGACTTGTCTTCAAAGTCATGCAGTGATTAATTGGTATTGGCAGGATTATAGTTTCTCAATCTGGCACTCTCATCCCAATTCTGAATGTGGTACTTTGTACCTGTTATTCAACCAGATTTATACTGCCAACGCCTGCTTTTGTAGCATGAAACACCGCGCTGAGGTAGGTAACTAGCCAAAAACTAGAGGTATATCCCTCTGTGTTTCTGATTTTTGATTTGTTGAAATTCTTCCTTTAAAATTAATGCTTGAAATACACAGAAAAAGAGATTTGTTGTTCCTTGTAGCTATTCTGATGGTTTATCTATTTCCCTTTTCTGCTTATTTGTATGCATCTAGTTTAATCCAGTCCTTTAGAAGCAATCTCTTTTTTGGGAACAGGACTTCATTTGTTAAATTTCATGTTAGGCTATTCACTTATGTCACTGTTAAGATCAGTGAGTACATTCAATCAGAATAAAACTTGAATTTTGGAAGACAGGTTTGATCAGAAAGTTATCCTGCCCTGATGCAAACAAAGCAAGAGATGGAAAGCCCATCCTTCTGTTTGTGCTTGTTCCAGTGGTTAATCACCCTCACTGGTGTAAATATGTCTTTTTGCTGTAATTACTTTGGCTTTAGGTTCCATTCAGTGCTTTTACTTGCTTCTGCTAGATTAAAAACCTTTCTGAAATTGACATTTCCTTCCCGCCGAGTGACTTCTCAATGCTGTTGATAGGATGAACAGATTGAGGTCTTAATGATTCTGACTGTAAGACATTTTCTTCAACTCTTCTATCCTTTTTATGTCCATGTCCTTCCCTCTCTGTTTTTTTCTGAAACTTCACAAATATAACCAACTGTAATATATTCAGCATCGTAACGCTGCTGCCACTAATGCTGCCTGAAAAGCAGAGGCACTTTTTAGTCCTGATGCTTCCTTCTTTGCATACCCATACCCTTTGATGGTCATTGTAAAGGGGGCTCTAAAGCATTAAGTACTTAGAACTTGTTGATCCATTTCTGGCATACTTCAGAAAAAGTCCAATCAGTGTTTCCCAACATGCATTCTGTAAGTGTGGCAGGTATTTCTTGATCACAGACACCTAACTTTGTGTTTTGTTATGAAACATATTATGTTTGAATAGACCCAGTTTACATGTTGTGTTTGGTACTACTGCTTCCTCCTCAGGGTTTATTATTTCACGGATCTTTTCACAGGTTTATTTTAGTTTCTGGTCATTGATCAAAATATGGAATAGCACTTGCCTAGTAAGTTCCATACCAAGGGAAGTATAAACTACTGGAAATCCAATGTCAAGATATCTGTGAACTTGGTGAAAGTGGGAAGTTCACTGGGAATCAAGTGCATTTGTTAACCTGTCCCTTTAAGTTAACCTGAAGAGCTTCTGAAATCTCCTAACATGCATACACAGTAGAAGTCACCTTTTTCTTTAATGTACTAAAGCTGCTGTTCTCCAGTTTATCAGTGTGGCATTTTACACTCTCTTAGCTGAATTTGTGGAGAGACACTTAATTTTTGTAACAATTCAGAGGTGGGAGAATTTGGCAGCATTTGCAGATCTGGAAGATAAGAGTACAGGCAAAAAAACCCGCTTCACAAACCCACAAATTGGTAGCTATTGCTTGCTTGAAAAGTCTTCCGTGTTGTGAGGAGCAAGGCTGGTGTGTGTAGGGAGGCTTCAGAAGGAGCAGGCAGTCAGGCTGTACCACTACCAGTTATGTCTGTGGCACACAGAACAAATTTCAGATTAAAGTGTCTGACCCTCAGCCTTGTTTATTTGGACTATGCAGATGGCCAGAAGTAGCTGTTCAGTACTCTTTTCAGGATCAGAAATACATTGATTGTAAACTTCTAATGACATGCAAGAGGTGTTTAGTGATCTGCATAAGTATTTTGGACTGTTACATCATTTCTTTTGTTTATCTAAGTGATAGGAAGTAGAACCTACTAATGTTCCTGATAATAAGTATGTATGCTGAGGCACAGATAACCGGCTGTAAAGACCCTACTGTGCTGAGTCCAGTGGAATTTCTGCTTTAATTTAAAGATGACCAGTATTAATGGTCAAAAAGAAGTGGATTGCAACTGGATTGCATGATGCCTGTTATTTGGAAGGTAACATTTGCAGAAAAAAATGTTAAATAATCCAGTATTGCCAGCATTAGTTAGTTTGGCTCTACCTATACGTGAAAACAAAATGAAACAGGAGTTTATTTGGTTTTTAGTTCTCCTACAGCGCTGCATTTAAAAGAAGTTCTCTGCTCATCTGTTTCTCACTTTGTCTTGCAGAACTTGCAGGAGTTAAGTATACAGTGAGAGCTGTAGCTTTGTCTGGATGTGAGCCCTCACCACGCACTCAGCCTGAGGCTTTCAGTTGATTTTCAGATCTATAACAACTTTACTACTCCTATTGCAAAGATGTGAGAGTCGGGAAATCAGCCAATCTAAAAGGAACACAGCGGTCACAACTTATATATGAGCCACCAGCCCTTGTAGAGGTGCAGAGGAAGGGCTTGGCACATGAGCAAACTTGAGGGCTTGTGTGATCTTATATATGTGGTAGTATTTCCAACCCTGTCCGCTGAATTCAGCAGGCAGCACTGCTGTCAGGCCCCTCCACAGACGTCTGGAATTGTGTGATGGGAAATGAAATGTGTAGCAGCACAGAGTTAGAGGGAGGCCTCCCGGATGAGTGCCTAAACTACTAGGACAAGGGCTGTGATACCTGGACACCTACCAAGATGTGCATCTTCCTGTAGAGGCTCCTGCGAGCAAACCCCCACCAGGAGGGACGGCTTTTGATGATGATGCCTCCTTTTTTTTTTGGAGAGAATCAAGGCAACTCAAAACCACAGGGAAAAACACGGTGTGACCTTGCCAGGTGCAGGTGTCATGACAGCACGGGAGAGGTAAAAGGTGATATAGGCTTGTACTCTTGCTGTCTGCCATGGAAGAGTATGTAACTATCTATAACTGCCTCAAATGCCCTTAAGCTGTTGTTTTCTTGCCATGGTTATTCTCTGCTGTGAGACCTACTGAATACTTGTCCCTGG